TCTCCTCCCTCTTGCTGTCTTTTTCTTCTTTTCTCCTCCTTCCCTCCCTGCCTACACACTCAAGTACTCGTACTTCTTGGCTATGCCTACATCTGGGCACACGTCATAGAGCCGTTCACCCAGCCTCTTCTTCATTTTTTCGCACGGGATCTGGTTGTATACCTGAGCAGCGAAGCCCATCATCAACACCTGGCGTGCCTCCCGGCGTGATATGCCTCTGGACTGAAGGTAGAAAGCTTCGTTCTCGTCGATATCCGCCACCGTGGCCCCGTGCGTGCAGTCCACATCCCCCGAACACACCTCCAAGGTGGGCATGGCGTCCACGGTGCAGGAGTCCGTGAGCATGATGGAGCGAATCAGCTGGTCCGCCGTCACCCCCCGTGCTCGTGGCTCCAATTTCATCCGTCCCTTGAACACGCAGTGGCTGTCCCCACTCACAATGTTGCACTGGTACATGTTACTCTCCCCGCCTTTCCGGCGATGGTGGATGTAGGAGTGGATATCGAGTTCTTGTTCCTCCCCAGTGATGGTCACCCCCTCCGTGTCCACCCGTCCCTCCGTCCCGTTCAAGGTCGCTTGGAAATTGACCCGGCCCAACTCCCCCCCCACGTTCACGAACACGTTCTTGTAGGCGCTCAATTTCTTGGTCGTGACAGAGACCGCGTCAAACATGAGGCCCCTCGGGCCCAGCTCGTTGGCGTGCAAGTGCTGCACTTCCGCCCGTCGGTCCACACGCACCGTGGTGCAGGCATTCGCCAAGGCTGTTCCCGAGCCTATGTCGATGTAGGACTGGACAAATTTTCCTGCCGAGCGTTTTCGCGCCACCACCGCCAAGCGCGGGTGGGAAACTCGCACGTCTTTCTCCCCCTCCGCCCCGCCCTCCCCTTGGCTGGAGGTGGAGACGAAGATAAATTGCACGGGCGCCGACATCTCTCCCCGTTCGTCCACCACCAGGCAGGCCGCGTCTTTCACACAGGCCTGGTTCAAGCACGAAAAGGGCAAGGAACCGGACGCCAACGTGTGCCGGAGCCCGACCTCCGGCGCCCACTCGACCTCCCGGAACAACTCCTCCTGCTCCTCCTTCGAGAACTCAAATATGCTGCCCGCTCTCCACCCCTCCTTCGGCCCTTCCTCCTTTAACCTCGCCACGTGGGACAACTCGGGTCGGTGGACGCCGTCCACGAAGACCACGACCCGTCCTTCGCACACCTCCAAGGTGTGTTCCTCGATCTTCGCCTTCAATGCGGTCACCTGGGCCGGCTGTAGGACCGCGGGAGGCTTCGATGGCCGTCGCCCATACAGACGGCTTAGATCCGTGAACCGCCATGCCTCTTCTCGCCGGGTCGGTGCCCTCGTTTCCCCTGCCAGAAAGCGCTCCACCCCTTCCTCCGTGGCCCGCCCAAAGGCAGGGTGGGGGTCGCGGTCTGCCAAAACAGCGTTGAACCAATCCTTAGCTTGTTCTTCGCGCGATGGAGGCTTGAGCGCGACGGTTTCCGCTTCAATTTCTTTGCTTGACTCCTCGAAAGATGTGGACCGGGGACGGTCAGCGAGGGTGGCCGCGAGACGGGTGTTCTGATGTGATGAGGACGGTAAGAGAGAGCGCGGCGGAGGAGATGAGAGACGTCATCATAAAATCTTCACAACGAGTGATACAGCCGTACGAGGCCTGGACATGTGTCCATAGGGACGATTAAACCCAATATAGTGTCGCATAAATGCTTTGTACCGAATGTAAGGAGGACACGAGGAGGTAGGGACATGACAAAGCACAAATTGGTGGGTGTGGCATCCCAGCAGTGAGCACTCCACACACATCAACGAGTCTACATTTGCGATAGCCTGAGACGCACTTCAGACCAGGAGTGCAAGGACATAAGGTTCAAACTCATCATGCATGCTAGCTTGATGAACCCTAACCTCACTTTCTCGTGAAGCTTGTTGTCCAGCCAACCAAATCAACACGTGCACTACCCTTTTCCTCTTCTCCTGTACGTTATTCCTTACCCTTATGCTATGCTTTTGTTGATGCTGTTGATGCATTATATTGCTTGCTTTTTGTACTCCAATTCCCCCTTGCGCAGGCGGGTTGAAGGGGGCTAGAAAGGCTTGTGCGACTCCTGCTGCTACTGCAGTTGCCGCCATTATGAAGCCCGTACTGGCCCCGCGTCGCCGCGACCCCGTGTATTGCTGCCTCGGAGTCATCTCGATGCAGCACTAGATTGAGAAGGTTGGTTGGGAAAGGAAGCAGGGCTTGTGAATTGGCTTGAAATATGGGAAGGCGAGGCATTTTTTGCGCTTGCATTGAGAACATCACCTCCTGTATCTATATCCATTGCTTAGCGCGCCGGATCAACGTATACACTCAATCTCAGGCCATGGAAATCACCAAGTGCACATTCCGCGGCACAAATTTCCTACGCGAATGAGCTTGCATGTGTATGTTACATGGCTGGCGTCCTTTTCCGTCAATTTGAGGGGGAATTAATCCAGCCCGGGGCTCGCTCGAGGGAAGGGGATGATGAGGACGGAAGAACAACGCCCGGCCGGCGCGCAGGCACCCTGATTGACAACGAAGCACATTTCTCCATGCGCGTAAACCACGCGGGTGGTCGTGTGAAATAAAAGCAAAAGCATGATGAAGCTGATAAGGTACCCACACGTGCGGGTGGAGGACCTGGTGTTGCTGTGTGCCGAGTTTGTTGCCAGCACCACACGATCGTAAGGTAGTGCCTCAATCATGGGCGAATCGTCGACAGGTGATCCTGGGTCGGTGCTTTTGGCGTTCAGTGTACGCAATGTGCAGAATTATTGGTCAAAGGGCAGCTCCTATCGCTTAGTATGCGTATTATCATCAATTAATGGTGTACTGGATAGCCAGAAGTTTTTTTTTCCATCTTTCATCGCGTGATTTCAGTGCCTTATGGTCCTGCTCGTCTTTCGCCATCATCTAGTCTGAAAAACCACCGCACGTCCACCCTTTCGATCACCTTTCGCAGACAATAGAAGAAAATCCTCTTTCTTATTGTTGTGTACACATTAAATTGCCTATTGTCCGGTGATATCCGCGAACTCCACCCCATTTATACCATCCCTTTTTTTGTCTTTTTACGTTACACAGCAGGCCCATGCGGCGTGATCTTCACACTCCAATCGCCTCAAAGAAGGTGCAGCAAATGCATTCACATGAGCGCGAGATGGAAAAAGGAAGGATCCTTCGAATAGATGAAGCGTCTGGGACATCTGAAGCCGAAAAGATGAATCTGCTGGGGGTACGTGTAAGGAGGTGACCGCTCTCTAGTGGGGGAAGTTCTCCACATGGTTTTTGGGATCAGGCTGCCACAGACGCAGCAACTCCTGTTATGCGTGTATAAATATATATATACTTTGTTATTTTTCCAGTGCCCTGTACGACAATCTGTCCAGGATGAAGCTAATCGACCTGGCTTCCACTGACGCGCGTCAGAGCTTTTCCCCGCTTGATGCACTCAAACGCTCCCTCTCCCATGTGCGTAGGAACTTCCCATTGATGACCCTGACACGCCCAAGAAGACTTCTGCCCCGACGATGTCGTTGCTGTCCACTCTTGACACCCTTCCTCGCATCTGGAAGTTCTGCCTGTTGGTTGTGGGACTTTTCTTCTTTTTTGGCGTGCACAACCTCTTGCAAGGTACCAAGAAAGAGTTTTCACGCCTCCGGGAAGTGAACCATCGGCCCTCCATCTCCTTTCTTCCGTTTTCTGCATTCGTCTTCTGTATGTTGCGCGTTGGGACGGTCCCGAAATTTTCTCCCTCTTGCCCCCGTCAACACCTTCCCTGATCATACACCGCCTAACCTGCTGCCTTCCCTCCCTCCCACTGCCCTTCCCCCCGCCTCTGTCTCCGCCCTTCCCTTCCACTGCCCTTCCCCCTGCCTCTCTCTCCGCCCCTCCCTCCAGAGCAAATCATGCACTTCCCCGGCTTCACGTTCGGGTGGTCGTTGGGTTTCTTAGAGGTGTTGGGCGTGACCGTCTTCTCCTACTGGGAGCGGCGATGGTACAAGGAAGCTGGCGTCCGGCGAGGTAGTTGGCGGAGCTATGTGGGCACAACGCTTTGCCTGATGGGGAGCTCATCCCTTGCAAACAAGGTTGGATAGAGGGAGAGGAGGAAGGGAGAGAGGGGAGGAAATGAGGATACGCTGTCGGAGAATTAGCGCCAGGCCCTCTCCCTGCCGCTCATCGCCTCCTCTCTCAAGCGGTATTCACTCCTATACCTCCCTCCCTCTTTACTTCCCTCTTTGCTGTCGCCCTCAACCCCAATCTCCTCCCTCTTGCTGTCTTTTTCTTCTTTTCTGAACCCCCCGTCAGGCGCTAGACTACATTAACTACCCCACGAAGGTCGTATTCCGCTCCTGCAAGCTCATCCCGACCATGGTTATCTCCAGGTAACCTCCTCCTTCCCCACCTCCCTACCTCCCACCCTCACTTCTTCCTTTTTTCACTCCCTCCCACACCTCCTCCGCCTCGCTTCCACAGCGTCATGAATCAGAAGCCGTTCAAGGGCGTCGAGTATGCCGCCGCCGTGGCTGTTTGTGTCGGGCTTATCCTCTTTGCCTTCGCAGATGTCCGAGTGGCGCCATCTTTTTCGCCCTGGTAGGGAGGGATAGACAGGGGAGGTCAAGGCAGGAAAGTCTGGTCGTGAGGCTTTGATGAGTGGGCTGTCAGCAGGTCAAATCGAACAGGAACCTACCCCCTCCCCTGCTCTCCCTCCCTCCCTCATTGCCTCTTCCTCCCTTTTCCTCCTTTTCCGGCTGCAGGGGCATCACTCTCGTTTCCCTCTCTGTGGTCTGCGACGCCGTGCTGCCCAATTTGCAAGAGCGGCTCTTTGCGGAGGGATCGTCCCGCCTGGAAGGTAGGTAAGATGAACGGGGCGACCGGACAGAGGGAGGGAGGGAGGGAGGGAGGGGTCGAGCGATGCGTGGGAGCATATCATCGAGGTGGAGAAAGGAAAAGATGGCGGTAGACCTATCCTGGTCGGTGACTTGTTCCGGGGCGCAAGCGATGCCTGCCGCGAAGGACAACGCACTTCGCCTCCCTTCTTTCATTTTGGCCTTCCTTCCCTCCCTCCCTCCGTCCCTGATATTCCTCCCAGTCACCTTCTACTCCAACATATTGACGCTGGGCCTCATGTCCGTCTCCACACTGCTCTCGGGTGACCTTCTTGGAGCCCTCGCCTACGCCCAAGCCGACCACAAGGCCGCCGTCCTCCTCCTTGTCTATACCTTGCTCGCCTATGTCGCCATATCCCTTCACATGGCTTTGGTCAAATCGTTCGGATCGGTGGCTGCAGTCCTGGTGGGGAACAGCCGGAAAACCATGACGATCTGCCTCTCCTTCCTCTTGTTCCCTAAACCCTTCTCGAATTTATACGTGGTGGGCGGCATGCTGGTCTTGGCAGGACTGACCGTCTCCGTATACGTGAAAAACATGGACAAAAAGAAGGGTGCTGACGATGCGGTCTTAAATTGTAAAGGGGAAGTGGTTGGTCCTACGGCAGTGGGCAACGGAGGGTTGATTCAGCAATAGTACTTGCGAAAAGAGAACGAAGGAACGGGCTTGGCGTCGAAAGGACAAGGAAAGGCGGGGTTGTTTTAAGAACAACTCTGAGTTTGTCGATGGATGACGGGCTTATAGTCACGTCACATGTATATCGAAATAGAATGGATCGTCCGATCGTGAAACAAGAAAGTACCACCTTGCAATGGTGCAGCTTAGTCCGGTCAGTCTGACTGCCTGTAAATCGCTTCAAAGACCGAAATTCCACAGACATGTGCCCACTTTGAGCATTTTAATCCATGTCTCCCTGTGATAGGTGCTTTCGGTCGCTTTACTTCGATCATAGCGCACGGCATTTTTTCACGAAAAGATTCACGGTGATCTCCAAATCAAATCATCAATTCTGTATTGCAGGACATTCTCAAGCATAGTAAAATTACAGATGTACTGATTTTTGCGGTAAAAGGTCACCAAAGGACCTGATAACTTAATTTCCGACTCGAAATCACATTGCCACCGTGGGGCGGGGAGGTTCTTGTCGAGTAATAAGCAAAAGGCCTGAAACGACTATGTGTTTTCATTCCAGTACCATCGAAGATCTCGTACCTGTTATCTCCTACATTACGGTCGCACTGTATGCTCTTCATCGTTGTACGATCTTATGGAAAGGGTATGCGAAATGCATCAAAAGAATTCCTACCTCTAGCCGATGGGATAATAAGCGATCATGCTTTTGATCAAAGAAACGAGTAAAAACCGTCAACACACGAATTTTTCTCCTTTGTGACCCCCCACGCCCATTTTGACACCTTCAGGCTTAAATAAAATGCTGGCATTCGCTTCGAGACGACTGGTAGTCGCCGGTGCTGTCACCCGGGCAGGTATGTAACAAACGTTGAATCGGTGGTATCTGAGTCTTGAGCGTATGTTTATATAGCTTCATTGCTTGTATTTCACGTACCATGATACTGTACTATATGTATCATTAAACGTGAAACGGAGATGTGGCCAGCGCGAGCCTGTGCCACATCACATTTGCCCCGCGGTGCTCTCACTTATCTTTCTCGCAATTAATCTCAATCTTGGCGCCGCGACATTCAGGCACCCGAGGGGCGCTGCCACGCGCATCAAGGCCGAAATATCTCGCATCCACGATGGAAAGAGCCACGTTTGCGTCCCTTCCTGAGCATACTGTGGTGGGAATGCCAGGTACGTGCTGTGAAACGGGGCACGTCGTCGGGACGCCGGCCTGCCCGTCGCGTGACTCGGCAGCCTCCACCTATTTCTGCCGCATTCTCCCGCAGAAATGGGAATGGGGTCGGAGAAAGGGTTCGAGTGGGGGATGTACTTCAAGATGCTCAAAGTTGGTAGCGGTTTTCTCTTCATGGACCTTTGTGAGGTCTTATTTGTGCTGTACTCGTCAATCAACCGTTGGCGGTCAGAGCCACGCTGTCCTGCGATGGATCCAGGCGGTCCAATACTGGATCTAGATTTTAAAAGTGTTCTGAATCCAATTCTCTCATGTCCGACACATCCAACCATGTTCAGCACTTTCGCCCACGATGACCCACGGCAATGTGGCGGTGTGGCACAAGAAGGTTGGTAGGAAGGAAAGCCACGGGGAGGGAGGTGGAAAACCGGGGGGAGTCCCTCGGCGAAAAGCGTGAGCGTGGGTGACGAAAATGGACGGTTGGAGGGAAAGGATGGACCGGACGTTTCTGGGGCCTCGGAGGAGGAAGCCCGGGTAGGGTTACGGTTAGGGTTAGGGTTGGAGACTTGGGGGGAGGACGCGGCGGTGGTCAGGGGTGGGGGGGGGGGGGAAGTATCAACATGAAGGTCCACTTTCTCGCTGGCTCACATTTCATCTGCACTTTTTTTGCTCCCTTTCTTCCCAGGAAGGCGATGAAATCGGGCCGGGCGATGCCCTGTGCGACATCGAGACGGACAAGGCAACCATGGCCTTCGAAGCGCAGGTATGTCAGGGTGGCTACAAGGGGGAGGGGGGGGACACAGTGCCGGAGAAATGACAGCTGGAAAGGCGGAAGCTGGGCGTCAAGTCTCACCCTCTGAGAAAGGGGTAGCGGGAGGTATGAATGAGGCTCCCTGCCGGGGGATAGGGTGGGAAGGGGAAGATGCCCCGCAGGCACCTTACGCACCTTACCCACACCTTTGTAATCCGAGTTGAATTTTTCTACCCGCCCCTGCACCGTCTTCTCCCCCCTGCATTTCCCTATCTTTTTTCTTCCTTTTCATTAGGATGAGGGAGCCGTGGCCAAAATCCTAGTCGAAGAGGGCACGAGCGACATTGCCGTCGGATCACCCATCATGGTGAGCAGCCCCCCTCCCCCTCCCTCTTTCCCTCCCTCCCTACCTCCCTCGACCACTCCCCCGCTGCACCCCTGCCCCCTTCCCACCCCTCTCTCCTCTCTTCTCCCCCCCCTTCCCCTGTGTCAGGTCATCGTCGAGTCCAAAGATGACGTGGCCGCCTTCGCCGATTTTACTCTCGCGCAAGCCAGCCCGCCCCCGCTGCTGTAGCCAAGGAAGAAGATGCTCCTCCTCCCTCTCCCCCTCCCCCTCCTTCTCCTCCTCAAGACACGGCACCGCCTCCTCCCCTTCGTCCTCCTTCCCCATCAAGCCCCCCCCCTCCCTCCTGTCACGCAGACATCCCCTCCGCCGGCGAAGACTGCGTCCCCTCCCTCCCCTCCTCCTCCCCCCCCCCCTCCCCCCCTTCCTCCCCCTCTCCCTCGATACCAGATGAGTCCTATGCCTTCAAACGCTGGGGAACTTTCGCCCGGGGCGGGGCTTTGGCGAAGAGGTAGGAGGGAAGGGAATTTCGTGCCTGACATGTCTTTAAAAAGAAAGGGGATTTCAGATGTCGGATTCAATCGTCTCATTGGCGGTTTTTGTGAGGTATCTGTGGCCCTCTTGTATACCTGCGAAGCTGGGAATGTTCCTCTTCTCCATGCATTTCTTTTAAAATTTTCCTCCTTTTTTATCCCTTTTTTTGTCATTTGTGGGTCGTTGTCTTTCTTTTCTGGTCTTGATCGCTGTCTCCTTTTCTATCATGAGAATGACTGTGAAAGGGATTAGGCTGATATTTAGCGCTTAACGATTGAAGATTTCTTAAACTAGCAGTCCATCATTTCTTCTGCGAAATCTGATCCTTTCTTTACTCTCCCGTTGACCGCAGTCTTAGCAAGGCGCAAAAGGCATACGTGGATGCCTTCGGCTCCACTGGTCAAACGCCTATGTGACAGGAAGAGATCAGTCTTACCGCCAGAGGTGGAGCATCCCGCAGAGTTTGATACCTATCAAATCAGGATTGGATCGTGTACGAAGGAAAAGGGAAAAGGCAGACAAGGATAGAGAGGACTTTTTTGGGAAAGGTTATGGGTATAGAAGTTGCTGATTGATTAAATCAATCGATGCCATTAGATTTCACCCATATATGAGGAAGAAGAAATTGATCGATTTCATGGTCGGGGTACGAGAATTAAATGTTGTCGCAGTTTTGCGGCACGAATTTCTTTCGGGATTAGCAAGTTATTTGAATGAACTTTTCTGTCGCATTGTGTTTGGTTTTTCCATTTGATCGGGGGAAAATATCCATATCTCCCGAAAATGACTCTAGCAACATGAATCAAGGTCCTCCCATGGCTTTTCAAATGCATCGATGTGCAGGACACAGGAAACACTACAAGGGGGCTTGCATTGGGGGCCTCACTAGACTCAACTATTTGTGCAGATTGACAGCATAGTGAAAATTAATTCTCATGCCGCACCAACCGTCCCTTTCCAAGTGAGCAATTTTTCTCTTCCTACCTGTTAGGGTTCAGGCTTACGGTCCAATTCATTGTTTATTTTTATTTTTCTACAAAAATTGCACATCTTTCTTTTGTGCATACAACAGGAATGGCACACTCGGTAGAAAATATACACGACAACAGCCTGGTGACTAAAAAAACTGTTTTCTTCTTAAGCCGCTATCCGCCGTGTGATAGTCGCCTCGCGAGAAGTTCGTGACGTACGCTTTTAACGGGAGTTGCATTTGTATTGGGGCGCGAGTGAGAAAGAAAGCCGACATCGGTATCAACTCTCGTCAAAACTCAGGAGAGGAATCAACATCAAAAATTCTTGTTGTCATAAGGCGTCCTGAAGCTCGTTAATATACTTACAATTTTGCATCATTCAGTAGTTTTGACGGGCATATAGGAATGGCGTCAGACCTTAACGGCCCCGATGCCCCAGCAGAAGCCGTTATCTCAGTCTTATTTTCCTGTCATGTGTTCAAGTTCCTATTCTCTGTCCCCCGCATCTTTGGGCTTTGCCGGGGGATTTTCGTGCTCTCTGTAATTTTTGTACGTGACGAGTGTGTTTCTAGTGAGCAAGTACCCAGAGCTTCCCGTCGTTGGGAGCTGTACCTGTCTACAGACGTGCAGCGTGGTGGTGCGGGATGTGGCGTAGGCAAGAAAGCTCTTGGGCTTGTGCTTACAGTTTAGGCGCTTAATGTTTTCCCTTTCAAACAGTGCGACATGGTAGCCACTCGAGTTTCCAAGAATACGTGCACCGCCTGTCGAAGTGCCAAGGTAAGATTTGGATCAAGGATGCTGATGCAAAAGAGGATCTCGTGTCACATTTCACCTCGACCACTGCGAATCGAGCGAGTGACGTTGTTCATGTCCTCACTTATGCATGGCATGTATTGCAACTGTACCATCCTGACAGATCCGATGCAACCGTGGTGAACCATCGTGCGAACGGTAAGAGAAAGTACACGGATGTAATCCATGATTTTACCACTTAGGAGCTCAATTTGATTTGGGCATCTCGAAGAATGTTCCTGAGCGTTGAGCGAGTGGTCTTGTAGGTAATCAAAAAGTCACGTCTCACAAGCCAGAAATTCAACGAACCGCTGCAGCAATACATTAGAAAGCCGACTGCAGTCTCATTTATTGTTGGACTCTCAAGATTTGCAATATCCGTTCCTTCCGCCTTACGCATTTCTTGCCCATAAACCCTGACGCCCGCACAGATGCACCAAATTGGGTATCGCATGTATTGAACAAGTGCGCACCCAAGGGCGGCCACGTAAGACCCAGGCCTTGACATTGCTCAATGAGATTTACGAGTCTTCGAATCCGCATAACGGCGCACCAAACCCGCCATGCCCATCGTCTCTCCACGCCTGCGGGTCGTCTGAGTCGGGGTCTTCGGCTACCCAAAGCATCGAGAACTCCAGTACTGACGGTAAAACCCCCGGCTTTCTACTTGCCACGGATGCAGCCGTGAACCCTGTTGGTGCTGCTCCCGGACGTCTTCGCCTCGCCGAGTACCCCGTCTCCACCCTCGCTACCGACCTCTCCCATGGCTTTGCCAGCCTCCACTACCGGGGCCAGAGCGACACAGAGAAAACCATCGCCGTCCTGTACGTCACGTTTCTCACGATAGATGTCCTGACTTGGTGCAATGTGAGGGGGTGGAGCAACGCCATTGTATAATTTTTCCCCTCGTGTGGTCTGACAAGATTTCTCTCTTTGCCTGTCTCGTCTCCGTCACAGCCGCGCCTGGAACCTCATGTCGGGCACGCATCGGCAGGATAGCTCTTACGGGGCCTTCAATCAAGTGGTGCGAGCCTTGGCGCTGGACCACGTCACGGCCATTCTCGTGCAGCAACGTCCTCCAAACTGCCGGGATATGCCGCCTGGTACCCCTCTGTATGGGCCCATGTCCGAGGTTTCTGACGACAGCGATCCTAGCGATCTTTTGCACGAAGGGTTTCGTGGTTTTGAAAGTGGAGAAGGGAAAGCCGTGGCGTACTATGTGATGGAAGGCGGGCACGTACGCCTGAGCGTCAATCCCCTCTTTGAGTCCATGCTCATGTCGATGACCGACGCCCTCTCCCTTCTCGAACATCACCGGATGCTTCCCATTTTCCTGTGGGGGTGCCTTTTCACCCCGTTCTCCCAACGAAAGCTCTACGGTCGCTTGTCCCAGGCCATCTTTTCCGCCGCTTCGCCTGTAGGGGAAGTGACAATGGATTTGGAATGTCTGGGTCGGAAAGGGGAACCCTTCTGGGGCCGCACGTCTGTGCGGCATGTCGTGGAGGATGAAGGCGCCTACGCTTCTTGCATCATTTCTATTGAATTGCTACGGGTCGATGAGATTTGTCCTTCGTATTCACCTCTGCATGCTGCCCGCCCAGTCATGGATCGGAACAGGCGATCTTCAAATGTGAACAGTGAAAAGGACGTCTCGGAAACGTATCCTGACAACACGACTGGACCTGCCGCTGCCACTGCTTTCACAGGATCAAAGGCATCGTTTCGAGATGGAATAGGCCATGGGTGGGACAAGAATTTGGGGGGAGTCGGTGACAACATCGTTGGGCCTGCCGCGAGTCTCAGGGGCCGGGAGGAGCTCAGTAATGACTTTAAACACAGGCCACTGACCCGCCGTCGGCACAAACGTAAATGTCAAGACACGAACGGGCCATGGGACGGGACTGAGTTGGATTGGGAGGGCCTTGGTATCAGCCATAGTCATGACGGAGGCAGTCTGTGGAGGGAACCGGGAGGGAAGGACTCCCATTTTTACGTCTCTGAGCCGCAACTTGCAGCCCTGACTGGATTTCAGGAAGCACATTCATGGCAGCAGCAGCCGCCGCATCAGAATGTAGTTGTTCAGTCGCAGTCATCATGGGTGCAGCGACGACAAAATCAGACCAAGAAACAGCACCAGACTCACCAGGAGCAAATGCAGACACTGCACCATAACCACCAATTACAGCCACACGAGCAGTACCAGGTGTGGCAAAGGCAACGACAGCAACAATCCCGCCACCGTCAGCAGCAGTATCGAAACGTTCCAAAAGAATATTTGTACTATCCAAGTTCGCAGCCGCCCCCGCAGCAGCAGCAGCAGCAGCAACAACAACATGCCCAACGATCACGAGAATATGAAGCATGGCAAAGTCAACAGCAGCCCTCCAGGCAGCCGCAACGACAACTGACTGACCAGTCTCAGCAAAAGCGTCAGCAAGATCAGCAGCTATGCTGGCAAGTCAAAGAAGAGGTTGCGACAACAAAAAGTAGTGGAGAGACTTCGGAAGGGATCGAAGAAGGAGAGCATAGGGGAGCGTGGAATTGTCCCGACGGGCAGAGCGCCTATCCGCATGAACCCAGCATCATGGAGTTCCAGACCACTCTGCTTTCCTTAGCAGCCTTTTCCGTGCATGGCTCACATATGGCAAACAGCCCTAGCGCGACCAGTACCGGGAAGGTGTTTAGACAAACCTCGGCAGGACTGGAAGGGGCGGAGGAGCAAAAGATGGTCTCGACAGATGGTGACGAAACGCTCGATTTTGATGATTTGATGAAATGCGACTTCGATTGGAGCATCCTGACCTCCTCGCCGCTCGTGCGTTTGAGTGGAGCTCCCCCCACACCACTGTTGACGAAGTCCCCTTCGCTGGTGCCCTTATCCCGTACCAGCTCCATCACCACGACCACAACTTACATCCCGAAAAGCAGCCGGCAGCCGGTGGTCAATCCCTCTCTTTCTCTGCATTCGACAGTCGGTTGCCTACCATTGCATGTACAGAATGAGGGTTCGGACGCTGAAAGCTGGCTTACGACTGTTGTCTAAGAGATGCGCTAGACTAGGCGGGGAATGAGAGCTAGGGCACTGTGCAAGCTTGTGCCCCTTGACAACTTGTTTCAAACAATGCTGGGTATTGCGTATGTATGTAGGAAAGGAAGAAACACTCTTCTATGTCTCCATAAAAAACATCCCGCCAGAAGACTAATTCACGGGAAGCAAAAGATAATGGTGATTACGAAAGAGCATAATACAAGCCATGCGCACGTCGAAAAGCACAACATTAAATTGTAGCTGACTTATTACTAGTACAATATCTTCATTTATTTACTTTCGATGTCAGTGAGGTCATTAGAAATATCCGTTCGGCCGAGATCAAGTAGTGCCAAATTAAATATCACTATCGATATCCAACGAGATTGCCTGGGCATAATAGGTTGACAAAGCAGCTATGCAGCATTCTTTGACTTGTGCATGCTTTGCACAAGTGGGCCTTCTCTGTATGTATCGCGCCCTTTCCATCTTTCTCGTCCGTTTTTCCACCAAATGGCAACGCTCTGCCTATTTTTGCACATAGAGCTCCACGATCAGGTCACCAAAGCCTCCACCCTGTAATGGTCATTTCTTTGCTTGAGCAAGCAGCAGGAGGAAACCCAATGTCCATCCACTAGCCCGACACCTTTTTCCGCTTCCCCCCCTTCTTTTATCCGACCTCTCTCACCTTTTTCGGCATACCCCCTCCTTTTTCCCGCAGTCGAAGGAGGCTCCCATCCCGAGGCACTCTCCCTCTTTCCACTTTCACCTTCACCTCTCTTCCGTTCAAGAGGGGGACCTTGACGACGATATCCTTGGCGGCCTGCACACAGAAAAGGGGGAAGATCCCAAGAAATTACTAATTGAATGAACACCATGCCCACAAACCTCTCCTTGCGTCCATCACGCGGACATCAAAATTCCGGGGCCTTCTTACCATGCTACGATCCACATTCAAGCCATTACCCCCATCCGGCCCCCAAGACTTCCTCCACCCTCCAGGTTCCAAGATCCCTTTTTCCTCCCATCTCTCCACGTCTCCTCACCTGCGCGGTGCTCAATCCTTTCCTCCAGACCAGGTCGTCGCCACGCCGGGTAAAATACCGGTGGCGTGCCTCCACCAGGATGAAAACCACGGGTGGGAAAGGGGACGAGGGAGGGAAGGAAGGAGGGCTGGAGGGAGCGGCGGCGAATTGGATCTTGGTCCCGGCCTTCCAGCCACGCTTTATTTCCACGCGGAAGGTTTTTTCTCTGTACCGGAAGGAGCCATGGGTGACGGAGGCGTAAGGCGACAGAGGTGTATTTGGGAAGTTTCCCGAGGGATAAGGAGGAAGCGAGGCAACGAGAAAAAGCGCGCAGAAAGCAATGGGGAAACAGGCGATCTAGCCCTTCCAGCCAGCGTGCGGAACTCCGGAGTTCAGAATACACATACTGGATTCCTACTACTTGAAGCAAAAAACTCCCCGGCTCATTTTTCCCTTCCTCCCGCCCTCCCGCCCTCCCGCTTTACCTCCTCCCTGAGTGCACCGTCACATGCCTCGTGGTTCCACGGTAGAGCTCCTCTAGACTACACACCATTTTTTCCTGCTTCGCAGACTGTTGTTGCTGCTGCTGCCATCGTCGTTGTTGTTGCTGGTACCCTTGGAAACCGCGAGAACCACCCATCGGATCCGGCCGTGCATTGGCGCCCGGGCTGGCGGAAGGACGAAGGAGGGAGGGAGGGAGGAAGGGAGGGGCGTTGTGAGGTCATCTCTTTGCTAGTTTTAATGGCTCTGCACGATTCATTGGTGAGCGCTCTGGTGCGGCTTTCGCTTTGAGCGCGTTTATTAACCTCAGCTGTGCACTGTCCGTTTCTCCGCCTTTACCTCTCGAGGCGACCTGCCTCCCCTGACCCTTTCCACAGTAATCTACCCACCACTCACCCGAAAAACATGTCTCCAAAAAAGCGCTCAAAAACATCCTCCGCTGCAAAGCCCCCTCCACCCCCTCCTCCCCCTCCTCCCCCGTCGAAAGGGCTGGGCCCGCCTCGGTACTCCCTGCCGTTGAAGAAAAATCGAGTCCCGCCGTCACCCCCATTAAACCCTCTAGCCCGACTTGCTCCGCCGGGGAAACCATAACCTCCTGGACCCTGAGGGGGAACGCCGCCCGCTGAGGCCCTGTGGGAAAGCAAGGAGTGTAAGACGTTGCATCTCCCTAACGGATCTGCCTCCGTTCCTCGTTGTCTTGCGCGCCCAAACTGGTCATTTCTAGCCTTTACCAAGGCTATATGTCACCAAGACCGCCTTCCGTTTCTCCTTTTCTTCCTTTCTACGTTGTCCGTGATGATAATCCTAACCCTTACCCTAACCCGAACCCCTCTCCACTCCTCCCTTTTCGCTTACCGCACGCCCTCTTCGCCGTAGGTATCGTAAATTTTTCGTTTCTTGGGATCACTGAGCACTTCGTACGCTTCAGTGATGGACTTGAACTTTTTCTCGGCCTCTGATCGTTTGTCTGGCGACACTTTATCTGATTCCATGGATAGAAAGGAAGACGTGAGGACGAAGAGCAGAGTACAACTGATCATCCCTACTGACCTGGATGAGTTTTGACCGCCATGCGCCTGTAAGCTCTAGCTATATCTTTTTTGTTGGCATCGCGTTTCAGGCCCAAACGGGTATAGTAGTCACTTTGGCTGCGCGCGGAGGCACCAGCACCGTCCACGGCGAGGAGGACCAGGCATAGGAGCTTGAGTGACAGGAGAAGAAATGGGGAGTTGAAGGTCCGACCTCTTGCCATTCTTCTTCTCTTGCTACGAGGGAGGGGAGGCGGTAACGAACGCTGGCTCGAGCTGGCGGGTGGAACGATTGTAGGAGGGAGTGCAGGCATCCTCGGCGGAAGGGAAGGTTTCAGCATATACCCTTGTGTGCTCTATTGCGCACGTTCTCTTTCTATGCCTCTTCTCCTTGTTTGAGGGGATTCTTGGGACCTTGTATGTATTTGATAAACAGGAAGGGCGTGTGAGATGAGCGCATTATTTTGTTTTGAAGCGAGCAGACAACCTTGTCCTCGACAAACGCTGCTTGCCACCTACATCAGAAAAGAACGCACGTTGTGAACCATGATGGTTTTCGTAAAACATCATCGCGCCACTGATAGGCTTTGAACGCATTAAACTACCAGCATTTGACCGCCCTCCGTTTTCGAGTGACCTATGATAAATTAATTTGTGCACAAAAGGGAGCTTCTGCTCGAAAGCCGCTACCTACATGGGAGCTTATTTCGCGGAAATATTGCAATATCGCTCAGAGTTATTTTCCCCTTTTCGGCTACATTGTTCTAGCGTGAGGGGTAAAAACGAGGAACTAGCGAAAAAAAATCGTAATTATCCCTAAATTACCATGTCATTATTTTCCAACCCGGGGCATCCATTTTTTTCCTGAGAAAAGATAACGAAAAGCATCATCGGAGTATAAGCTCTAGATAAAATGCACGCGTGATCGCATGGATCAGCTTTGATCAAGACCAGTTGGTGTGCAATATTTCTAAAGCTATCTGATTCGGTAACAAATCATGCTCTGTTTCCATTTGGAGGACTATACAGCTGAAATTAAGATAAATCGTCTTGAACTGGGTCCTCTTTATGATACGGGGGCAGGAGAAGTGCCTTTCATTTCTTTGTGATTAATGAATTGGAGTAATGAAAACAAGCATGGCTGGATAAATGAACACCTTGCCCCATCCTTAAGCATGTAAATGCACAAAAAAACATTTCGTGCTTCAGTTCTAACATAACCGTTCCATTCATGTCCGCGGATATGCAGATTATTTTTTTCCCCCTTTTTCGCGCCATTGTTGCGATCCTCAACCCGAAGCGGTTGCTGGACGGCGGGAACGAGGGGGACGGCTTTTTTTTCTCCGTGTACGTTATTTTTTCCGCACCAGCAAACTGGAGATTGCTAATCTAGACTCATGTGATGGAATTTCAGTGGTTATTCTATGCGGTCCAGGTTAGGGTGAAGGTTAGATGTGCCAGAGCTTGTGGCAGGTTCTCGCTCGCCAGAAACAAAGAGAGGAGGGAGGAGGTCGGTTTCCCGCCCTCCTCCACCTACAAAAATACATTACAAATTACGTACATTTAATTGCCCTAATTCCTCCCATGATTCCTACAGGCTTATTAAACTAGCATATTTATTTATTCGAGGAAAGCCTACCATTCATCAAGTCGTGAAGATGGCTCCGCAGTCCACTTCGCCGCGCCTACATGATAGCAGGGGACGGGGCACATGCAGAAGCAGCAATGTTGTCTTTGAACGCGCAAACCCCCTATTCGAAGGCACTTTGGACATAGAAGTGTGCCGTCAAGGCATGCAAGGAGAGCAAAATCAGTCACAGGAGCTTTCCAGGGAGGTATGAAGCCATGCCCGAGTTAGGCGCCTTCTATAAACCGCATGTCTCTTCTTCTTCTCCCGCATCTATATTTTTATAATTTAATGTCTGCCATGCACAATGTTTGTTGCGCCTTTGTCAGGAGCTCATTAGGCCCCTCTACCTGTCACTTTCCTCCCCACCTTATCTGTCCGTACAGATGGTACCTCTCACCCTCCGGGTCCTGACCGGCACTGCAAACTCCACCTACACAACATCTAATCAAGTTGGCAACTACAGCCGGAGCGAGCATGTGCTACGTATTGAAATAACCCAGTACGACAACCCAACCGAGGAGAAAGCCGGCGACGAGGACGCTGCCGCCTCCTACTTCCTCTACACGCTGGACGTATCCGAGAGCGAGTACCCGATTTTAAAGCGGGATCAGAGCCTGCTGGTCGACTTCGCCGATTTTCCCGACCAATTCATTGGCTTGGTCGCTCAGTGTCGGGTTTCCCATTCCAGCACCAACGCCTCCCAACGTTCATCTGCCGCATCTTGCGACACAATCCCAGCTGAGGTCCCCCCTCCCTACCGCGCCCGTCTCACTCTGGCAACCTCTTCCGCCTTGTCGACTTCTCCTTCTTCTTCTGCGGTCTTCGCCATCGTGGAAGCGACGCCGTTCAAGGAGCTTTCCCACCTCTCCCTCGCGTTTTGTCCTCCCACTGACCACCACTTGAAGGCTTTCCTGGCCACTCGCCTGCAGCACTTGACCTTCCTCCATGCCGCGGCAGTGCGCACCCACCACTCCGTCTCCCACATTCTCTCGGAGGAACAGGCCCGGAACCTCTCCTTGACCACAGCTCTCTCGAGCTTGAGACGTGAGAAGGAAGAAGAAACAGGCACCCTGAAGAGGACGCACATGGAGGCCATGACCACTGCCCTGGCTGAGCATAGCCGCGAGAAGGATCAACTGATCTCCAGGCATGAGTCTCAAATGAATGCCTTGCGGAAACGGTGCGAGGAGACGGAGCGCCGGCGGATGGAGCTGTCGGAAGCACGGCATGCCAACGAGGCGAAGCTGCGAGAGGTGACGCGACGGGTTGAACAACTCACGGACCGTCTGGCAGAATCAGACAAGAATACCCGGACATTGGTGGAAGAGAAGAAAGGACTGGAAGATACCCTGAGAAATGCGGAGAAGCATTGGGACGAGGCGAAGCTCCGAGAGGAAGGACTCCTGCAAAAATTGAAGGGTCAAGATGATGTGTTGGAGCGGACCAAAGCTCTGCAGTTGGTGGCGGAGGGCGCTCGGAGAAGGATGGAGGAGGCCCTGGAACTCTACAAAAACAATGCATTGGCATTGCAAGAGAAGCTGGAGGTCTCTGTTGGGGAAATTCAAAAAGGGAACATGATTATTCAAAAACTTCAAACTGAAACCCAGACACTCCGAGGGAAAATCAAAACCAAAAATGAAGTGCTCAAGAAGCAAGAAGCTTTGTTGGTGGAGGGACGTCGGGGCCAAGATGCAGGCGTGCACCGCCTAAGTGCAGTCGTACAGGAAAACGGGCGTCTGACCCAAGAATTAGGCGCCTTGAAGACTGCCTTGGAAGAAAGCCGGCGAGAGAACGAGTCGAACCAACAAGTCATCACTTGGCTCAACAAGGAAATCAACGACTTGCAGCTGGGGCGAGGGAGTCATGGGCTCATGCATGCAACCGTTGGGGGCATGGAAGGTCCCAAGTATGGAAGAGCGAAACAGCACAATTCTTCAACAGCGGCCTCAGTAGCGACATTCATACCTTCATACAATACGCCTGCCAAGTATCGAGGGGATACTATCTCACAGGCCACACCTAAGTCGCCAGTCGAATCAAATGCAGTTGACAAGGACCCACATCAGTCAAAGAGTCCACTACCAAGACACTCGCCAAGTCTGGGAGTGAACGTCTCAGCTTCTTCTATGTCTACTGCAGCCTCAACACATTATCTGGATGTGCTGGGACTCTCCGATCCCTACCAGCACTAAAAACATTACAGTAAAAAGATGAAAGAAAAAGAGTGTGAAATGTGTACATGTCAGCGGAGTACAAACTGGATTGGAAAGAAAAAAAGTAAATTTTATTTCAACGCGTGCAAAAAGGCGGCACCACATAGAATACTGCCTGTTGATTTCGTCATCAAATTATATTATTGGAAAGCTGGACTGCTTTCGTTCAAAAATGAATTACTCGGCTGTTAAGGGCTATTTTCTTGACCGCCTTTGTTCTTTGCAATTACAGCCGACAAATTTTTGCCGGGTCCCTGGACTCAGCTTTCAGGCTTGATTTAATACATTTGGCCTTTTAAAGATGTGTATAGAAAGTGTATTCGAAAAGGTGGCGTGTTTTGTAGGTCCTACTGGTCAATTCCACACCTCGTATGAAAGTCCACACGAAAGGTTTCTAAATTTTGAATTTTCGAATTTTCCGTTTAAACGACCTCCGCATGTGCGTTGCAGCCACCCCAACGGACCCTCTCTCTTTATCCTGTCTATCCATTCGTCTAGATTACTCCTGACGTCCTTCTGTCATTATTGAGAATTCTGTATCCTATGCTACTACAGTAGTAATAGTGCTTTTCCAATTTCAGTCACTCATTTACGATTTTCCAGTACACATTTATACCTCTTATTTCACTTTTTTATGTCTCGTCTCCCTTGCAGTACTCATTGAACATATTGCCGCTCGAATTACAGGATAACTTTTGGCAGAAAGGTATCCATTACTAGGACCCTATGATGAAAACTCAGTTTTTATCGAAGCTGCTGGTGCTCGCGTTTTGTGGAGTGGGGTTAAGGTAAGCATGGGAAGCATTTTGCGTAAGGCATATATGGGCCGCGCTACTTCTGACATCCTCCCAGCGATCCTTAAGTATCCTTTAAGCTGTGAGTCTACTTTACATACAACACACTCTTATGCAACATAAAAGACATGTAAATGCAATCTTTTCAGGCATTCTTGTGGGAATGTTTGCTTTCTTCTTTCTTTGAGTGCTGGATTTCATTCGTAAACAAGGCAACGAAGAGGGATGTCAGATCCTTGTTGAATTTGCCTAGAGGATGTGTCAGTCCCATGCTTCTAAGGTTAATTGTTTGAAACTTTCTTCTGTTCGATACTGATCACCCAATACCTTTCCTTTATGCAGTCATGCCCAGCTTCAAAAGCAGGCGTACGAGCATCAAGATGAAGGCGATCTTCTGGTACGAGATATTTCGAAAAGGATTCGCAACGGAGAAGATCTTCCAGAGGCCTTAGTTCTTGGCAAAAACAAGCCTCATGAGCTCCGTCGCTCACTCTCGCAGAATCATTTCGTCCATCGGCAAGTCAAGAAAGCCGGCTCCTTGACTTCGCTGAGGAAGCTAGCCTTGTTCAATTTCGGATCAAACAAGAAACTGGTCAGACGTGAGCGACCCCCTTCAATTTTCAATTCTCAAGTATCCTCTGCTAGTGATCAAGCCCTCCGAACCCCCCCACAAAGGAATTGTGCCTGGCAGGCGTACATCACCGGAAAACAATACAATGTCGCCTACCCGGATTTACAGGCCATTTACCAGGTGCTTGTCATGCTGAAAACTACCGAGAAGAATATCTTTCGTGTCCGCGGTAGCTTCCCCCAGGAAGGTGTGCGCTACTTCTCCCTCCAATCCAACAATGTGGACGTGGGATTCCCCATCTCGACCATCAAGGATTACGAAATCGAAGTGGACGACCCAGAGAATACACGCAATCCGTTTGCGGAGGACTCAGACCGACCCATCGGGACATACACAATAAATGTGACGCCTCGAGGGGATCAAGGGCTAAAAAATGAGCTCAGTCTGTGTCCGGAATCAATGACCGATCGGCAATGTAGGAGTGTAAATGCGGTCATGCTCATGCGTTTCTACACCTCTGACCCGGACCGTCCTCCCGTCAGCTCCAAAACCGATCCACCCGCCAGCCAGCCCAACGATCGTTTGTTTGGCTATGCAACACCTCCCATGGTGGAAGAGCGCCAGTTCAAATCCTGGACCGATGACAGGTCACGCGACCGATGGCGCGTCTTCCCTACTTGCGATCAGACACGTTCCACTCAAGTAACTTCCTTGATTTCCAAGCATTTTTACGGAATGATTCCTCCCTTCGCGCCGCCCGTCCGCCACAACAAGAACAACAACTTTGTGCTTTACCTCGGGGAAGACACGGCGACCGCAGGGGTATACCCGAACCTGGACGCTGCTTATTTGCTGGCAGTGGCCTGGCAACTTTCTCCAGAGCTGAAAGATAAACCCAAGAAGAGATTGATGGCTCGCGTAACGGGCACCTTGCCCGTTACTTCCCGAAATCTTTTCACGGATCCCAAGATTGCGAATTACAAGGACGCGGACGTCCGTTACATGTCTTTCTCCTCCATTGCCTTGGTCTCGGGAGGGCCTACTATGGACACATTGGATGACGCCGCCTTTTTGCGTTTCTACGAGCCCCAGCAACCGGAAGGAGAGGCATGGAACCGCTCCTACTCCTTCGTCGCAGCCGAGGACCCAGAGCGGACCTGCGGGTTGTATAATGCCTCGCAGGAGTTGTTCTTGTCCACCGTCCTCGACGGAAAGCTCCAGGACTACTGGGGCATCCTCGACCGACAACTCATCCCCAAAACGCAACGAACCCGTCTGCCCGACCGCTCGAACGGATACGCTCGCTTGCAATGTGCGGATGCGTCGGCCTTGGATGCTTGTGTGGACCCGGACTATCTTAAAAATGTCATGGAGGACTACTACCCTCGCATTCAGTGGTACACTTGTGACCAGGACGGGACATTGGAGGAGATCACGGATTACCTGGGCGCAATCCCGGTGAGCGAGACGTTGACCAACAAGCAGAAGACACACAATGGAGGTGTTGGCTCCAACTAATCGACCTCGTAGACTTGCTTTGTGCGCTATGACGAGTCGGGGAGGGAGCGGGGTTTGGAGGAAGCACGTGTCAAGGGGGGAGGAAGGGAGATTGGCGAGAGAGGACGAGTGAGAGGGAGTGGGAGAGACGACGAAAAGGACTGTGATCGAAAGAGAAAGGAGGCGTGACGCGAAGAGAGAGATGTGTTCGTTATTGAAAAAGGATGAAGGAGAGGGGAAGCGAGAATCATCGAGTTCTTTGAGATGGTGTGATACCAAAGCAGCCCATGTTTGGATTCAGGCTCGCCGGCTTACCTACGCCAATCCCTTTCTCTTTCTCGTCTGCTACTTTTTTTGCTTGAAATTTTTCCTACCTAAGGAAGAAGCAGTGAAGGGCGGCGAAAACGAGGGACAAGTCCGCGCAAGGGGGAGAAGAAAATGGTGAACGCTGCATGTGTGGAGGTGTATTTATTTTTTAAGGCTGGAGTAGGTGCTCGGTGGTATTTGAAGAGGATGGGATACGTTTGCTACTTCGTCTGTCGCTCCAAAAGTAGTCTTAAGCACGGGAAGGATGAGGCGGGTTCGTCCCCAAATAAGCCACAAGAGAACCCTAGAAAACTAATTTCAATAGCGTCCGATAAGAAACAGGACCGAAAAAGAACTCCCGCATATTTCCCCTATCTTTTCAGAAACCCAACGCCACCATTTTTACAGATTCTATGATTACTTTCTCGGCTATTTGCGAGTTGGCCGCCCTGTTCGTTTCCATGCCCCAGTTTATATTCCGAACCACCGAGGCCCCTTTCCTAAAGCCCATGTTCCGCGCAATCTAATTCGCATGACAAGACCTCAGGTCACACCAAGCGAGTCCTAAGTTTATTAATTTCCTTGTCAATGACCTCCATCTCCATACCCAACTCTTGAATCTTGTTCTCCTCCACGGACACAAAGCGGGAATATGGGCCGATGCAGTCCAAGATCCGTCCGCGCACTTTCCCTAATTCTCGATCTAAGCGGACGGCCAAGGTGCCATCCATCTGTTGGCGCAATGCTTTTACCCTTCTTCGAAACTCCGCTCGTTGTGCCTGCCGACGGTAAGGCAGAACTACCAGGCCCAGTAAAGCAAGACTGGAGGCAGTGATGAGCCCTCCTGAACAAGGGGGGTAACGGGGACGCCCAAGGTAGAGAGAGTGATTGGAACACGGAGAGAAATACGGAGGAAAAATAGGAATTTGCATGTGGTCAGACATGCTCACCATAGTAGGGTTGCAATGCCATGAATGACAACATGGAATGAAAAGCGCAACGAGGAAGAGGTAGAATGGCAAGAATTGGAAGTGTTTGAGCAACAAGAGTGAGTTTTTCATGGAGGAAAACAATATACCTGTGACGTCCAGCGCGTGGGTGGCCACCAAAGCGCCAACAGTGGCCGCCCCAGCCTCGACGGCTGCCGTTGCCATCACTCCGGTTTTGATCTCTTCGGAAAGTTTTACAAATTCCTGAATCCCCGGCACGAGGAATAGAGAAAAAGAAGGTAAAAGATACTGTGAAAAAACAAAAGAGAGGATATCAAGAAGAAGGAGCCCGTACCTTGTCTTTGTCATAGGTATTCATGACTTCACCCACGTCCGCAGTCAGTTTGCTCAACACCTGTGAAAAATCATAAGAGGATTATATGTAACTAAAAGTACGAAAAGCGCACACGCAGCACTAAATCAGATAAAGGAATAGTTTACAATGATCGACGTATCTCCAAGGAGGCGCAGTGGATGAGAGCGTAAATCGGGTGCGAAACATATCACAGTGACCGCGTGGAGAACAGGGATTAAGGAACATCAGCAAGACTTGTGTCTTAAGGAATCACGCTTTCCCCCCAAAAAACAACGTGCGCGTCATTGAGGAAACTGAATAACAAGCAATCCACGAGAGCAGAGAAGCATAAACCACTGAGAAGATAAAAGATAAACAACAGCTCACCTCCGCGCGAATGCCTTCAAAGCGCGTCTCTGTCACACTGCCTACCATTTGGCCATGTCGCGCACCGGGACGCCGACCCAAGAAATCCAGCACGGCACGACTCTGTTCCAGACGTAGAAATATGACACGAGTTAGTTTCCGTGTGAAGGCAGAAGGTGTTTTCCTACAAGGATACCTTCAGACACCCACAATAGGTTGACCAAAGAAGGGGACAGGGGGTGCAGAAAGTAAGGAGTAAAAGAAAGGAAGAGAGGTATGAATGAGGTACCTGCGTTCTAGCGCGCTGAGCGACCAATTCTGACATGTCCAGGACAATCTCGTCTACGACCGTCGCTAAATTTCCTACCACCTGTTGTTGAAAGCGCTTGGCAAAGGCCTGGGAAAGGCAGAGGCAACGAGGAGACAGGTATTGCGAAATGGACAGAATCGATTGAGCATGTAATGGAAACGTGAAAAACTAACAATTGGAAAAAAGCAGGTGGAAGGGTGGGTAGGGAAAAGGCGGGGAAGGAGGGAGGGGGGTTCACCTGCGAGTCCCAAAGTTCCTGGTAATTGGTTAGGGTCACGTGGGCCGCCAAAAATTCTTCCGCCCTATCCACCATGTCGCGCAGGCATTTGTCAATCATTCCCTTCTCCCGCTCAACGTCCCTTTCCATGTCACGCATAAAGGCCGTCATTTGCTCGTCGACCAAAGCCAAAGTCTGGCGGGACGGGGGCGAAAGAGGGGCGGAGCGAGAAAGAAGATAAAAGATAGGGTGAGGCCTCATTGATGGCAAAATGCTTAAATGCAGGCGCGCGCAATGGACAGAAGCAAACTTCCTTCGCCAAGAAAGAGAAGAATGAGGGAATAAAGGCAAGAAACGAGGAAATGAGGGAGAGAGAGAGGGAAGGGAGAAGGTTGGACAGAGAGGCCGGGACGCACCGCGACGTCCGATGATAAAAGTTTTCTTCTCTCGTCCAGCGTATGTCGTGCTTCATCCAAGAGCCGTTCTGCCACTGTGGATGCCAAAAAGGTAGGGATGTGAGGGTTGAAAAGAGATTATAGAGGAGGGACAGAGGCGGGACGATTGGAAAGAAAAAAGGGGGAAGAGAGGGAGGGAGAAAGGAAGTAAGAGGTAAGATTGCTTGCTGGTCACTGACCGCCTATTGGATTGAGGAGCTTGCTTTGTAATTTCGCCTCGTCCGTCAGAAGCGTGTCTGTCGTGGTATGGAAAGTTAGAGTGAGAGGAAAAGGAGGTATGGGAAAAAAAGAGGGAGTGAGGGGAAGAAAAACTTCATATATAGATATGTCAGAGGGACGGTAAAGGTCCCTCTCCACAGTAAAGAGAGAGTCCAACAAACCGAGGAGATACTTTTTCTCACCTAGATATTGTTGCAAAGCGGCAAAATTGCTCGCTTGCCAGGCCAACGCCCCGGGACCCACCGTCGGAGAATGAGGCTTTGCGACCACCTTCGCCTCGAGGGCGAGCTTTGCGGAGATAGGAAAGACCTACGGGCGAAAAAGAGACGAGGGGGGGACGAGGGACAGAAATGAGAAGGGAAGAAAGGAGGAGAGCGGGGGATAGAAGGATACCGCCAAGCCAAAGAATCCCAGAGCCAAAGGAAAGCACGCTGTGAGCAGAGGAAAATCAGGGACGTCGGTGAATGCGATGACGTGCGAAAAAAACGAAGAAGGCCAGCACGTGTGATGTAAAAAGGCACAGAGCCTACCTTCAGGTCGGCTTCCGTTCCCAGGACTGCCCGAGCATGGGCACGGACATATTCGGTCACCTCCTCCACGTCCTCTCGACTCCTCAAATCGCATTGGTTCAAGACCAAGACCACCTGTAGGCGTGTCCGGGTGGAGGCAAATCAACACGAAGGCCCACCCTCACGCACCTCCCTTCTTCCCTCCTTGCCGGAGTTCCATCCTCGCCCTTCCCCGTTACCTTCTTGTGCCACTGCGCGATGGACGTGAGGAATGTCCGTTCCGACTCGGAGAAAGGCCGGGCGATGGAGGTGAGGAAGAGGACGACGTCGGCCCGGGGCACGATCCGGTAGGTCAGCTGGGGGAGGGAACGAAGGAGAAAGGAGTGAGAGAGAGACACGGAAAGAGGGGTATGCTCAAGTGCAGCGTCTAGCGACAAAAAGCGGGACACACTCCAAGCACAGGCGGCGGACCGGTCGCAGACTACGCCAGTGCCGTGCCTGTGTGGACGCCCGCACGTCTCCTCCCCTCTCCCAAGCACCTCCACCCCGACCTGAGAATGCCGCTGTATCACCGCGTTCGTTCCGGGGGTATCCACCAGGGCCAAATTCTGCAACAAGGGAACGTCCAGAAGTTTTTCCTCCACCTCGTCAATCATCTGCCCTTGAGCATCGGCGTATCGGGTGGGAGCCCCCGCCCGGTCCACATGCTTGACGAAGCAGATCTTGGCAGTAGTAGGGGTTACACCTGGTGCGAGGAAAGAAGAAGCCAACGATCAGTATTTTCGTGCTGTGAACGCGGGAAAATGGTTCTTGGAGGTTGTTTTGAACCAGGCGTAGTCACAAAACTGGGTTTTGGCCCTCTTGGTGATTGCTTGCGGCTAGTACCACCGACGAATCGATGCATGGATACAGCTTCGTATATCGAGGCCCAGAAAATCCTCAGCAAATTTTCTCTGAAAAAGCCTTACGACCCTTGCTATCTAATTGAAATGAACGCCCTTCGTAGTCTCGAACATCCCAGAGGATGATTTGACGATTCTTGCTCTCGTAATAATGCCACTTAAAAAATACCCCATACCGCCCCGCATGTGCATGCCACATTATCCAGCTCCCGCCCATGGTTTTCTCACCTTCTTTCAAGTATTTGTCTCCAAGAAGGGCGTTGATGAAGCGACTCTTTCCGGCATTGAACTCACCCACTACACACACCATGAAGAGGTCTTCCACCTGCAGAAAGGGCGGCAGGAGGGTCCACGCACGTCCATGCACGGGCAAGCATGTGTTAGGTCTGGACCCAGCTGTATCTATGCCATTCTCTCTGTGCTTTAGCCCTCTCAATTTGCCTCCCAAACCGACCTGACAGATCGCATCCTTCAAAATGTCCAAATCCTCCTGCCCTGCCTCCATGGACGTCAACACTCGGTGCAGGCGCTCCAAAAGCGCTTGTTCTTCTTTCACGATGCTGGCTTGGGCATCAGTAAGGATGGGAGTGGCGTCTCGAACGGGAGCTTTTGTGCTTTGAGTCACGGGTTTCACGGAAGAGGAACGACGAGAGGGGGAGGAGGTTGGAGGGGGGGGCGGGGGGCGAGATGACGACGAGAACGGACAAAATCGGACAGAAACAGGACATGAAAAGCCGTCATCATAGCTTGGGAAATGGTGTGTGCGCCGGTGGGACGCTATGTTATGATGGGCGTGACCGAGGGTACTGCTTGCTTCTCTCCACCGCACCGCTTGCAAGGTAGTCCCGCAAAAGAGGTGACGACAAGCATAGGAACCGTACTTTCTCCAGCTACGTCGAGGTATGCTATCACGACTGTTTAGAGCAGTCTTCCTCAGGCCAAGGAGCATCCTGGCGCAGAAGTCCCGCGATACGATACGCGGGAAGGACGTCTATCACTTGGGACCGCGGTCACTCCTTCACTCCCAGGGCGGAAACGAAACGTACAATGCTGTGCGTGTCAATCAAACGAAAATACCGAATGAGGACGACTGCAGCGTTCTATCAAGATGGAAATGGATGAACTCTGGAAAAAAAACCATGAAAGACAGACAAGTTATGTGCCTCCGCCCAAATTGTTCCTTGCAGTCAAATTCATCCAACGTCTCAGAACATTTCCAACGCCCCCCGCCCGCCCAAACCCAGCCATGCCTATCCCCACCATGTCCAGGACAGGATGCGTCGTGCGAGTGACTGGCGGCAAGCACATGCAACACATGATGTGAATGGATAATGGACATCGGTTCCCTGTGCCTTTGTGACGGCCTGGGCGGCCCGTGGAGATCACTTTCGCTCCTCCGACCCCCCCTACCCATACTACCGCCACGCACGCAGGCGTTCCTGTTACCTTCGCACTGGTCACATGCACCCAACCCACGTCACCATCCACGGCTTAGGTTCCCTTTCTCACATGTGACTACGGCACAGGTTCTTTTTCCAGGCATAATGTGTCCGGGACCTCAAGATGGGAAGGGCACTGGCCTGGTAGAGAATCCCTTGGTGGCAGCAGCTGCGGGCTTGTATGCGGAAACCGAGCAGCCAGACAAGGACGAAGGAGTATGGGATTTTTTCCGTTCGTACACTGACGAGCCCCATAAGTCACGGTAAGAGGGTAGGACTGCTGTTAGTAGGAACACGATTGACGAGTAAGCAAGCAGTGGCGGCCCCCGATAGACATCACCCGGGGCGGGCACCTCGATGAATGCAACCCGGGTTTAGGATATTTCGTACTATCCTAGCCCATGACCATAGCATCCATCTCACGTCCCCCCCTCATTTCCGCGCGTTGGTTTTCTTGTCCAGGCGTGAGGCCATCTTGAAAGCCCATCCTGAGATCCGGAAGCTCTTCGGGCATTGTCCGTGGACAAAGTACAAGGCGGCCGCGATCATTTCCACGCAGGTAATGCGGCGGGCGGGTACGGTATGGAGCCTCTAGTGTGGAGCAGGGGAAAAATGTCGGGCAGTCAAGGAAGGCCTGAAAGGGTTGGGGAGGGGCATCCGCGTGACGCCCGAAGAGAGGAAAAGTGCGGAAGTGCGGACAATGGCTTGCGCGACGGACGAGCAGAGAGGGCTAAGGAGGAGGGACGGGGGGCATATCCAGATGCAATGAACGAGGTGGCTTGCGTTTTTCTCTATCCCACGCTCCCTCGAATCACCTCTTCATCCCCGGTAACCGTTCCCCCGGGGCTGCAGGTCATGGCCGCCGTGGTCCTTCGCCACCGCCCCCTTTCCCCTCCTCCTTTTTCTCACCTACACCCTCTCGGGCTCCTGCAACCATTTCTTGACCTTGATCATGCACGAGGTCGCGCATAATTTGGCATTCAAGCGTCTTTTTGCCAATCGGGTCTTCTCCATCATTGTCAACCTGCCTTTGGGGATACCGGCAGCCATGTGGGTGTGGGAGGGCGGGCCGGAGGGAGGGGTGCAGGCGCCTACATCGGGGTGACAAGTGGAAGAGGGAAAGGGAAGAGACAGAAGGGAGGGTCTGTTGCGTATTCTGGCGTGCCGGGGACAAGAAACGTTGGGGCAGTGGCGATCGTTTTCTCTCCAGACTGAGTGGGCGCTGCGTGTCGACGGCGAAGAGATGAAAAAAGTGAAAGGGGAGGGAGAGGGGAAGGACGCGAAGGAAGACGCTATCGTCTGGAAACGCCTCGGTTGCGTGACCGGGCAGTGACAAGTCTGTTTCTGGGGGTCATGCCCTCATTTTTTCACTCCGTTCTTTCCTCTTTCACTCGTCCGCAGCTCCTTTAAGCGCTACCACATGGAGCATCACAAGTATCAAGGCGATGAGACAGTGGACGTGGATCTCCCCACGGATGTTGAAGGTGAGATAGGAAGGAAATGAGGGAGAGAGGGAGGGATGGAGGAGAGAAGGAGGGGTGGTGAAGAAGCGGCTTCAAATCTGTTGCCAAGACGAAATGTTTTGTAAGGGGATTCTCGAAAGGCATGAAAGAGGAGATGGGAGGATCAGGGGATAGTGCTGAAGGAAGCTTGGGTTCCTTGCATGAACCTCCCTCCCCCCCCTTTGTCCCTCCCTCCCTCCCTCCCTTTGTCCCTCCCTCCCTCCCGTCCTCCAGGCAAACTCTTCCGCGGAGGACCTCTCAAGCTCCTCTTTGTTTTCCTCATGCCTGCCTTCTACTCACTCCGTCCCCTCTTCGTCCGCCCAAAGAAGCCCAGCAACTGGGAATTGGTGAACGTGCTTGCGCAGCTGACCTTCGATGCCCTGATTTTTTATATCCTGGGCTGGAAGTCACTTTTCTATCTTGTTGTCGGCACTCTTCTAGGTAACAATCATTTCGATCCTTTCCTCGTCCCGTTTCAAACTGATTTAGTTTTCCTTCCTCCCTCATGTTCCCGTCCTGACTTGCGTTCACTGTTCCCGGTTCCCGACGACACCGACATGGCTGTCGCTTTTCTCCGCGCTTGACCCGCATGTCATGCCCCATCTTTTTCGCACCCGCTTCAGGCATGGGGGTGCACCCCATGGCGGGGCATTTCATCGCCGAACACTTCGTTTACCAAGCCGGGCAGGAGACGTACTCGTACTATGGCCCTTTGAACTGGCTCTCCTTGAACGTGGGCTATCACAACGAACACCACGATTTCCCCAATATCCCCGGTACGCCCCTGAGGCATTTCCCTTGTGTTTCCCTTGTTTTATCTTCCCTCCCTGCCTTCTTTCTCTCTTTCTGTCTTACCTATCTCACTCACGATCCTATGTCCCTCTTGTTTCTAGTAGCCAGCCAAGGCATCGGTCCTTCCCCTTCTCCCCCCTCCCTCCACTGATCCGTCCCTCATTTCCTCCGAAATTGCACAGGCACCCGTCTCCACCAAGTCCGTCGTCTGGCTCCTGAGTTCTACATGCCGCTACCGCACTACTACTCATGGAGCAAGGTCATATGGGATTTTGTCACAGACCCCGCTGTGACCCCTTTCAAGTGAGTCCGAGGGGCGGGAGGAAGGGAGGAGGGACGGCAGGACTTTGGGGGGGATGGAGCATGCCTGTGGAGGCACTGCTGGTTCGGACGTTCGATGTCCATATGAATCATAATCAAGTATAGTGACTGCTGAGACGGCAACAAAGTGACGGGAACTGAGAAATGTCACTCTTTTTTCCACACGTCACAGCCGTGTGAAACGGAACAATCTTTCAGAGGCTGACAGAATGGCATTGGCAGCTCGGGATTAAGCTGGTGCAACGCAAATTTTGAATTAAAGGGTAGATACAATGCAAGGAGAAATGACACGCACACTAGATCCGACCTACTTCTATATTGCCTTTCGGTATTGGAAAAGTGGCACTTATATGCCGGTTATAAAGCAACATGAACCATATAGAGAAAGGCTGTGCGAATGAATTGTTTGGGTTACCAACACCTAAAGTCTGCTCTCCTGTTTCTCTGGTCGCTTTCTGTGGCTAACAAGCCCTCACTAGATTGTGTCCCTCTTCTGATGTATTTTCATCATCCCATCTGTTAAGTCGCGAGTCACGCCGAAGGCTTCTTCGTCGCATGAGACGTTTTCCTAATAAGTACCACCTTCTATTTCACACGATGAACATGTGGACATCTATATCCACCACTTCGTTCGCCGAAGGCTGACGGTCTCTGAGAGTGTTAACAAAATCTAGCACCAGACTGATGAAGTAGAATAATGGGTAGAGACATCAAAATGGGGGTTGAAAGAAAAGAGGAATTCGCTGTGAATTTGATAATGGTCGTGGTATGGCAGGCAATGGGAAAAAAATTATGTATAAAGATAGAATAAGGCACCATTTGATGCTCAAGTCGTTCCTTGTAGGTATCTATCCTATGTCTTTTGTAGATTTTCTTTTTGCACTCGTCTCTCCTTCCTCCAATCCTCACCTACGGTATGGAATCATTTCCATTTTCCACAACAAAATCAGGGCTCAAGCCTATCACTCACTTTCTAACTCTTGTTCGGACAATTTTCGGTTCCTCATTCCCCTACCGAGTCGAATCTATGCATCAGGAAATTTAGTTTTTTATACTTGACCGAATTCGCAGGTCGTTCGCACGAGATCAGAGATGATGTGCAGATAACTAAATTCAGGACAGAGTCGCTTTTGAGAGCTTCTGCTTCAGGAAATAATCTTTTTGATTGTCTGAAACATTGTTTGGTACAATATTGGTAAGCACCTTTTTGATGGAAAGCAAAGTATCTTGGCGATTCCTCTCACTGGCCGTTACTCGGTCTTACTTCGGAATTCCGGGCGAGGGTTCAGCGATTGGGATTCAGCTTTTCCGGTCGTCCCTGACTCGCGTACTTGCCGTGTTCCGTACCGGAGTCGGCAGAACATTCCGATGCAAACACCTCACCAGGCCTTGACCATTAAACAAGCACGGTTTCTTCAGGCCCAACACTTATCTTCGAAAAAAGTCAGAAATTTTGCGCTACATGCACGTAGAAATGCAGATGGAGCTTTTTTGTTCAATCATCCTTCCTTCTTTCTGTTGCAGAGGGCTGATAGAAGAGCTCGTATCTCCGGAGCAGTCACCACACATTGCACTTTCCAGACGCGGTTGCATTGATGTCTGGGCCGGAATCCTCCGCTGCTATTGAGCCTCTAAGGCAGCTTGGCATCATGCCTGCCTTGATTGCGGGATGGTCGGCCTTTCCTGCTTTTATGTTGTTATTGACCTCTCAGCTAAATCACCTTTATACTCAATTTGCACCGTTCCTGTTAAGCATCGAAATGGAGCCGCAAAATCTGTCATCATTTCTCATCATAACATTCCGAGTGCTACTACTGCTCTTTTGTTGCCGAAACATGATCGCCTTTTCCTGGGATGTTTTCGTTGATTCGGTGAGACAATATCCGACCATGAACCCCTTGTTATTTCGAAACAGCCAAAAAGCGGCACGTGCTCTGGGCTGTGGATCATTCCCGGCTCGCCTTATGGTATTGCTGCATCTGACTAGTGCTATTTCATTGATCTGCGCCTTGCGGCTTGCAAGACGCTTCAAGGTCATAAACACGGAGAATTTCAACGAACAGCGTATTTTTCTTCGATTTACCTTCAATCTTATTCTCAAAACACTATATTTCATAAATGTCTTCCCAAACTATCAACTAAATGTACTGAAAAGCTTTTTTTCGGTTTACGTTTCCTTCTCGGATGTATTGCTTGTTTCTTGGATACTCCGTTCTGACATCGGTTGCCTTACCAATAATCCCGGCATACAAAAGGCTTATCCCTGGGGTGAGGCGAATGAAGAATACCAGCGGCAAATACTGACCCTCAATTTTCTCCTTTTGGTGATTGTAAATGTGTTACCTTTTTGTCTTTTTTCGATTTTGATGTGCAGAAAAGGAGTTAAAGTGTTGGAAGAACCCCAAGACTGGACAGTTGTTATGAGAAGGTGCAGAAATGTTTCCATGGCCATTGTCGTTGCAGGTTGGGGTTTCTCTCTATGTATGACTGGTTTATTGCCTTCATTTTTCTCCCTTTGCCTACTCATCAATGGTATCTCTCTGAATCGGTTTCTATTATCTTCCGTCGTCGAAAGTATCCGATTCGGAGTCGCACTCTGGATTGACTTGAAAAGCAACATTGGGAGAGCACTTCGGTGGCTTGTCCAACCATATCGGGGACAGGCCTCGTTGATAGAGATGGTGACGTCGTTTATATTGCCGGTATGTGGAGTACTTTTTATATTTTTAATGGTTGAAGCTCCACGGAGAGCAACGATTTGGACCTGCCTTCGGCTAGCAATAGGAATACACTTCAATATCTTGTACAAATACCAAGTACAAGCGACGCGTTGGGGCCGACGCGGCAGTTTCTTCCAGCATGGCATCGACGTGGTTATTTTCCTCCCACTCGCTTCAATTTTAACGGTAGCAGTACTCAAGGCCTGGGGTCGCAGGTATGATTTCACTCGAGCTCTCAAGTTGCCGGGGCAGCAAAATCGTCCAGCTTCGTTCTTCCGCGTGGCAGGCGGTGCTCAATGTGTAAAAATTTCTTCCATCATGGGAACTTTGGAACTCTCACGCACAAATGTTCGTGATGAAGTTGAAGCATGTGCGGTCTCTGCATTCCGGGCTAGCCACCCGTCATACACTTTTTGCAACACCTCAATTGGGGGGGGCAAGCCTTCTCGACTACTCTCTGATATCGCTCTTGAGCTACCTGGACAAGGATAGCAGTGATTTTCATGCCTTGTTCGATCCAATGGCGGCAACAGACGATTGGGAATTAGAGCATGAGGATGCTTGGGGCCCGGCGACCCAAGATACAAGGCAAAATGACGATACAGCTATGGTGGCAGTGACAGGCATCCCACGGGCACGTGTCTTACAGCTTTTCTCTCCAAGTCGGAATTTGAGTGTCATTGCAGTAGCAGGAACCAATCCACTCCGACCTTATGACATTTTTCAGGACGTGTTATTGTTTCATCGGGCATTTACATTTGAACTTGCCTCTCAATTCAGCCCACCTTTGAAATGGATTCCACAGAAATGGAAGTCTTTTATCTTGTCCCTAAGCTCTCTACCTCTGCATCTGCTGGGCTCAACCAATCCGTATTGGTATTATCACCACACACTCATTGAAGAAGTTAAGGCCCAGCAACGGCGTAAAGGCATAGGAAGAGTAGTACTTACAGGCCATTCCCTTGGGGGAGCCATAGCTCAGATTGTGGCCGCCGGTGCTCACGTTCCTGTCGTGTCAATCTCTTCCCCGGGAGTTTCCTTGTTATTGAGCAGCCTTGGCATTGATCCTGAACCGCTTAAGTACTTAAGTGTCAACGTCGTACACGAAAATGATGTTTTACCTATGCTCGACAAGCTGATGGGTTCCGTCTTCATCCTGGGCTGTGGGTCCGCGAATCCGTTTCGGTGTCATCAGCCTGGCCAGACAATTTGCGAGCTCTTGAGCCATTGTAAAGGTTCGAGTGCTTTTATACAGTGCCGTCTATATCAGGCATGACTGAATGGTATAGGTACGAAGCTTCTGACGGAGCAAGGAGGGACCAATGATCACGAAAATTATCCTTTTGAAAGTGAACCGGTCTGCCAGAGGATAATCGAGGTAAGAGGGAGAGAGCATGTAAGAATGTAAAAGGGAACAAATAGACAATCGCTTCAGAAATTTTTACGATAAATCTTTGATTTGTACGAAGAGCAAGTAGGCAAGGGCGATGCCGATGACACGCCTGACCACTGTCGTTAACCTTAAAATATCACACCTTTCTTTGGGACGGTCATAAGCTTTTCGCCTCGCCTTTTTCAATTATGCGTCTTTAATCATTGCCTCTTTTCCATTTTGTCCGATCGGTCGGGGCAATGCACGGAAAGCCGTTTGGGAACCATTTCTTTTGACTACCGGTCCCTCTTTTCCAATTTACGTACCTACGGCGTTTCCATTACCGATCGAACAGATAAATATCATCCTCTCCGTCACTGTAGGAACTGGTGCTTCCTCCCCCCCATCCCAGTGTTGGCCGCCCCCCCCTCCGCCCTCCCCTATCGCTCCCCTGGCTCCTTCGCCCCTCGCCTCCCCCCCCCCTCCCGTGGGCCGGCACGGGCATCGCAGCCCCTTGTCTCCCTACCCCCTCCCTTTCTCCCAAGTAGGGCGACGGCAACACAAGCGAGGGGGGTCCCTGTTGGATTATACGTCCCTCCTGAAGCACCAAAATTTGATCTACATACCGACCCAAGCTGGGACGCTGAGAGGCGATCACCACCACAGGTTCCTCCCATTCCTCCCTCATGGTCGCACGAAGCCCTTCCATGAACCTCCGCGCTTCCTCGTCGCTCATCAACAGGGTTGGCTCGTCCAAAACCAGCAGCCGAGGAGGCCCTCCCCCTCCCCCTTCTCCCCGCCTTCCTTCCCCCCGCGCCAGCGCCCTGGCCAACTGTACCCGCCGCCATTCGCCTCCCGACAAATTTCTTCCCCTTCGCCCTTTCCCCTCCCCTTCTTCCCCTTCCCCAAGTTCTGTGAACCACCCCTCCCTCCATCCCTCCACCCATTCCCCTACCCGGCCTGCCCTCCTCCCTGCGGCCTGCCAGATCCCTCGGTCCCCCGCCCCTCCGTTCAAGGCCCGCAAAGACGGCGGCCACACGTTCTCCCCCACCGTCCAACATGAAAAGGCCGCGCTCTTCTCCATCCCCGGCAAATACCCGATCCGATCTTTCCAGGCGGCCCCCTCCCATTCCTCTATTCGCCGCCCTTGAAGCCGTAGGGAGCCCCGAAGCCGAGACGGAGAGAGGGCGGAAGCGAGCAGGCCCAGGAGCACGCTCTTCCCCGCCCCTTCATTCCCGCACACCAGGACAATCTCACCCGGACGTGCCTGGAAGGATATGTCCTTCAACAAATACGC